TCCCATCAGTGCCTCAATACCTTAGGCGCTGACAGCATCTCCCTCCATGGATGCACTCTACACCTCACGGAGCCAATATGGAATGTCAGCATAGTGTTAGACTCTCAACTGTCCTTTACACCCACATACATGTCATGAACTGGTCCGCTTTTACCCACCTCTGAAACATCACATGGCTCCGCTACTGGCTTGCAGATCATCCAGAACTCTGCAGCCTATGTCATCTCCCGGACTAGGCCCCATGACCCGATCACCCCTATCCTCCCTCGACTCCACTGTCTTCCCATCAAACAGAGTATACAGTTAAAATTTGCTCCTCACTTTTAAAGCCTTCCATGGCCTTGCTCACTCTACTTCTGCGACCTCCTAAGCCCCTACCAACCTGCCCACTTCCTCCGCTTGGTGGGCTCTGTCTGCTTCATGTCTCTCCCCTGCCTCGCCTGTCCCACAATTGGTAGTCAAGCTTTCAGCCTCTCTGCCACCAACCTCTGGACCTCCATTCCACAATCCCTCCAACTCACCCCCACCCTTGCCTCAATTGAGATCCGTCTCCAAACCCTCCTCTTTGACCATGCCTTGAGTCATCTTCCTTCCCTCCCTGTCCTCCAATCTCCTCGATCCCAACCCCCAGCTCGGGGCCTAAACATTGATTGTCCAGAGCCTTGGGACGTCCACCCGACATGAAAGGTACTATACAATGTAATTTGTAGTTGTTGTCGTCGTTAGATCCTTACGAAGGGACCTACGACAGGATTTAGTCAGAAAACAGGAAGGGAAAAACATTGGAGAGAATTTGATTCCGCAGAGGACAGCAAAGGCAGAATCAATTGAGATTAACTACCTTTCAGTATGTGGGAAGTTAAGGATTCTGCAGAAAAGGGGTCAGATTCCATGATTCACAAAAGAGGATATATTCTCAGTATATCTCAGCAGGAAGATTTGGCAAGCAAACATCCCGAGGTTTGTGAACTGATGTCATTATTTGGTAGAATGGATTTACTGCCTTCAAGCATCGTATTCAATCAGCATTTGGAATTTCAGTTGTGAAGTTTATATTTATGCTTTGTATATTCTATTGCATATTCTAGTTTGTATTATTTGTGCTCTGTATAATCAGCTACTTTGTCCAACTTAATGGATTTTCTCATCTTGTAAACTAAAAGTTTTGGTTCGACTAGAAAATCTGGTGTGTGGAAGATAGTGGCAGTGAAGCCAGCGACTGTAAATAGTATACTCCATAACATTTAGTAAAACTAAGGGGAAACCCACATTCATCAACATGCACAAGGTTTTTAATGATGTGCCTCATGACCGTAGAATCATAGAACCATACAGCACAGAAAGAGGCCATTCAGCCCATCATGTCTGCGCCAGCTCCAAAACAGCAATCCAATCAATCCCACTGGCCCATTTTCTCTCCATAGCCCTGCAATCATGTGCTCCCCAAATACCCATCTACTTTGCTCTTAAAAGTTATTATTATTGAATTGGCTTCCACAACCCTTTTAGGTAATGCATTCCAGATCCAAACAACTCACTGGGTGAAATTTTTTTCCTAACCTCTCCTCTCTTTCTTTCAACAAACTTTAATCGATGTCCTCGGGTTACTGACCCACATGCCAGTGGAAATGGTTTTTCCCGGTTCAACCTATCAAATCCTCTCATGATCTTGAAACCCTCTATTAAATCCCCCCTTAATCTTCTCTGCTTAAGGGAGAATAATTTTAGTTTCGCTAACCTCTCCTCATAACTAAGGTCCTTCATTCCTGGAACCATCCTGGTAAACCTCATCTGCACCCTCTCCAATGCTCGAACATTTTTCCTAAAGTGTGGTGCCCAGAACTGAAAGCAGTAAACTAACTGAGGCCAAAACAGAATTTTATAAATATTCAAAGTATTTGATGACTTGAATTCTACACTCCTATTTATAAAACCTAGAATTCCATATGCTTTTTTAACAGCTTCATCTGTGAGATGTCAAGAGTCCTGTAGCTCAATGGTTAGAGCAAGCGAGAGACCTGGGTTCGATTCCCAGCAGGGCAAAACCTTGGGCAAGTTTCCTTACTCCACACGCCTAATAATAATCCCTCAAAAAAAAAACAATAATAAATTGGTCACTTCAATCCACGACTGTTTGTGGGACACTGCCTCTCCTTATTCTTCCTACCAAAATGCAACGCTTCGCATTTCTCCATATTACACCTCATCTGCCACGTTTCTGCCCATTTTGCCAATCTTCCAAGTCCTCTTGGAGTCTGGTGCTATCCGTCTCACCATTATCTGCTTTTCCTAGCGTAGTATCATCTGCAAATTTGGAAATTGTGCTCCCTATATCTAGGTCCAAATCATTATATGGAGTCCTGTAGCTCAGCGGTTAGAGCACTCGCTTTGCAAGTGAGAGACCTGAGTTCAATTCCAGGCAGAGGGCGAAACCTTGGACAAGTTTCCTTACTCCACACAGAGCCTAATAATAATCCCTCCAAAACCAAAAACAATAATAAATTGGTCATTTTCAATCTACGACTGTTTGTGGGACATTGCTGTGTGCAATTGGCTGCCGCGTTCGCCCACAAATATACAGTCAATTCGCTTTTCAGTGTGTTCTGTGAAGCGTTGGGATGTCCTCCTGACGTGAAAAGCGCTATATTAAATGCAAGGATTATTATTATTATTATTATAAACTATGTCTACTGCACTACCTTCACCCATTCTCTCAGTCACTTCATCAAAAATTCTATTAGCTTTGTCTGACACGATCTGCCTTCAACAAATCCATGTTGATTGTCCTTTATTAAACTATATTTTTCTAAGTGAGAATTTATACTGCCCCGGATATAGTCCCAGAAGTTTCCCTATTACTGATGCTAGGTTGATTGGCCTGTAGTTCTCAGGTTTATCCTCTGCCCCTTTTTATACAGGGGAGTAACATTTGCAACCTTCGAGAAGACGTGAAAAGCGTTATATCAAATGCAAGGATTATTGTTATTATTCCTGTCCTCTGGCACCACTCCAGTGTCCAAATAGGTTTGAAAGATTGTGACGAGATCCTCCACTATTTCCACCCTTGCTTTCCTCAGTAACCTAGGATGCATCTCGTCCGAACCAGGTGACTTATCTATCTTCAGCAGCAACAGCCTTTTTAGTACCTCCTCTCCATTGATTTTTTATCATATCCAATTTCTGTTCATATGCCTACGATATTGTAGCATTGTCTTCTTTTGTGAAGACAGTTGCAAAGTACTTATTTAGTACATCAGCCATGTCCTCTGCCTCAACAAGAAGATTTCCACTTGGGTTCCTAATTGGACCCACCCTACCTTTGACTAACCTTTCACTCTTGATATGCTTAGAGTTCCCTTTTATATCTCCTGCTAATCTTTTCTCATACAATCTTTTTGCCCCTCTTATTTCACTTTTCACTTCTCCTCTGTACTTCCTATATTCTATTTGATTATCTTGTGTGTTTTGGACCTGAGATTTGTCATAAGCCTTCTTTCTCTGTTTTATTTTAGTCCCAATTTCCTTAGTCATCCAGGGAGGTTTGACTGTCTTACCCTTTGTGGGAACGTATTTACTCAGTCCCCGAAATATCTCCTTCTTGAAGGCTTCCCATTGTTCATTTTCTGTCTTACCTGCCAAGCTTTTTTTCCCAATATATCTTGATCAGGTCCCTTTTTAGCTCACTGAAATTAGCCCGCTTCCAGTTGAGGGTTTTTACCTTTGATTGGTTATTGTCCTTTTCCATTACTATTCTAAATCGAATGATATTGTGATCATTGTTATCCAGATGCTTTACTCCTGAAACCTGCTCCACTTACCCCACTTCAGTTGCCAGAACTAAATACAGCACTGATTCCTTCCTCGTTGGGCTGAAAACATGCTGATTCAGAAAGTTCTCCTGCACACATTTCAGGAATTCCTCCCCTTCCTTGCCCTTTACACTGTGTTTCCCAGTCTGTGTTAGGATAAATGAAATCCCCCATTATCACTATTATAATGGTTTTGCCTCTCTCTGAAATCTGCTGGCAGATTTGCTCATCTATCACTTCCCACTATTTGGAGGTCGAAAGTAAATATCTAACAGAGTAACAGCTCCTTTTCTGCTCCTTAACTCTAACCAAGTAGATTCAGTTTTTGAACCCACTAACACATTGTCTTTTTCAGGACAGTAACCGTGTCCCTAATGAGTATTGTCACCACTACTCCTTTTTTCCTTTCCCTATCTCACCTGAATAGGTTATAGCCAGGAATATTCAGTTCCCATTACTGTCGTTGCTTGAGCCAAGTCTCTGTAATCGCCACTAGATTATAACCCCATGTGTTAACTTGAGCCTGCGGCTCACCAGGCTTATTGGTCACGCTCCGTGCATTTACACACATGCACTTCAATCCACTCTACATTTTTCTCCATCTTTCTACTTCTTGCTGGACTATTCCTTGTTTTACTTCTATTTGTCTCTCCTCGTCCACTATGGAACTAGTTTCTGCTTCCTGATGCTACTTTCTGATCCCTATCCCCCTTCAAAATCAGTTTATACGCATCCCCAAAGCATTTGTTATCCTTGTTGCTATGATATTAGTCCCAGCCCTGCTCAGGTGGTAAGCCATCCCTCGTTTACAGGTCCCATCTGCCCCAGAAATGATCCCAGTGGTTTAGAAACATGAAGCCTTCCTTCTTGTACCATTTCTCCAGACAGGCACTCATGTGTTGGAATTCTCCTGGTTTGGTATTCACTTACACAAGGCATTGGGAGTAATCCAGAAATCACCAGCATTGAGGTCCTGCTCTTTAGCTTCTTCCCAAGATTCTGAAATTCTCCCTGAAAAGTTTCAGCCCTTTAATGACACACATCATGGATTCCCGACATGGACCACAACTTCTGGATTTTCCCCTTCTCCGTGCAGTATATTTTGCACCTGTTCCATGATTTCATGCACCCTGGCCCCAGGGAGGAAGCATACCATGTGCAAGTCCTGTCTTTTATGGCTGAAATGCCTGCCTATCCCTTTAACTGTTCCCCGATAACAACAGCATTGGCGTTTTTCCCCTTGTCCCTCTGATCATCCATTACCTTTTGACTCTTCTTGCCAGAGGTATCGTCACTGGTATCCACTACCGAGAACTGGTTTGTGAGTGCCACACTCTTAGGGAATTTCTGTACTGCCTCTTTTTTTTTGCTCCACATTGGATGGTCACCCACTCACCTTCTTCTGAGCCCTCTTTGTAGCTGGGGTGACCATCTCCTGAACTCCCTGTTGCTGTGGCATGACTTCCGCCACTGTGGGGTGAAACTGGGAACCATAGGAGAACATGTCTGAACCTGGATTTTATATGGAATGTATTCCAGCTGTAAGAACTGTGTAAGAATCAACACTGTGTCCTTCCACCTGGAAAGGCAAGGCTGCCCATTGTCAATAAATCTTTTTTGATATGTTCGTCGACAGGAAATCCTCCCAAGGAAATCCTCCCAAGCTCTTGCTAAACCTGCAAGGAAAAGCCTTATCAGGTAGGGACAAGCAGTGGGAAAGCTTCCCAGATATCAATGGCAAGCTATGTGGTTTTAGCAGGTTAGACTCCAGTAGTTACTCAAACACTTATGCACGGATCGCCAAGCTTTGGCTATTGCCAACCAGCACCTAATTCTTTCCAGAAATAGGTAAGCAGGATGCTTCCCTCCAGGGAGGGAACGTGCATTCCATTCCAATAATCATCTCTGGAATTTCTATTTGTAGTGAGATGAATGGAAATCTCAGTTTGGTGTGGATACTCTTATGGTGATGGGTTTCCACACTTGACAGATACCCGGTTGACCTAAAAGAAATTCACACCTGTGTAGTATATTACAGTCACATCTCTAGGGAGTCTAGTGTGATATTAACCGTGACAACAACAACAACAAGATTCCATTTATAGAGAGCCTTTCACGTCGGGAGGACATCCCAAGGCGTTGGACGGTTGGGTCAGGACCCGAGCAGGGGGGAAATGGTCAGGGTGAGGGGAGGGAAGGGAGGGAGCGAGGAGGGTGTAGAGAGTCGAGAGGGGAGCTGAAGGCACGGTCAAAGAGAAAGGTCTTGAGACCTGCTTTGAAGGTGAAAAGGGAGGAAGTGGCGAAGGCACTGGGGGATGGAGTTCCAGAGCCTAGGGGCTGAGAGGCTGAAGGCCCGGCCACCGATGGTAGGGCGGTTGGGGCGAGGGATGTGGAGCAGACCGGAGCCAGAAGAACGGAGGGTTTGGGCAGGTAGGTAGGGGGATAGTAGGTCGGAGAGGTAGGAGGGAGCAAGGCCGTGAATGACCTTGTAGGTGAGGATGAGAATCTTGAATTCGATCCTCTGGGGGATGGGGAGGTGAGCGAGGGTGGGAGTGATGTGGTCCCGAAGCCTGGTGCGGGACAGTACACGAGCTGCAGAGTTCTGAATGACCTGCAGTGTGGAGGGAGGTGCCGGGAAGGCCGGCGAGGAGAGAGTTCCCATAGTCCAGCCTTGAGGTGATAAAGGCATGGACCAGAGTTTCAGCAGCGTGAGGGGTGAGGTATTGCCTTAGTCTGGTGATGTTTTGGAGGTGATGGAAGGCGGTGCCAGTTGTGGTGCAGATATGAGGAAGAAAGGACAGCTCAGGGTCGAACAGAACCCCGAGGTTCCTGACTGGCTTTGAGAGGTGGAGAGTGCAACCTTGGATGCTGATGCTGTCAGCGCCTGAGGTGCGGAGGCTCTGACGTGAGCCAATCAGGAGGGCCTCAGTTTTGTGCACATTGAGCTAAAGAAAGTTGTCTCTCGACCAGGACTCGATGTCGGACAGGCAGCTGTCAGGACATCGGTGGTCGTGGAGTTGAGGGTAGAGGAGGAAAGGTAGAGTTGGGTGTCATCCGCATACATGTGGAAGTTAACCCCATGTCTGCGGATGATGTCACCACAGGGGGAGCATATAGAGGGTGAAGAGGAGGGGACCGAGGACAGAGCCCTGAGGGACACCACACGAGACACTGCGGGGGGTGGAGGAAAATCCGTTTGTGGAACCTCTACTTTAGTCTGATATTAATAGTATGCATTCTATTATTCAGACCACAGCAGAGTCTGATGCCACACAAGTATCCTGTATCTGCTTGTCATTCTGTGCCATGTATCATATCTCATCACAGCCAAACCTGACATTACAATCTCACACTTCACGTGGAGAGATTTTACATTTTATTGTGTTCACAAGCAGTTTCTGTTTCTGTTCAATTATATGACAATCAATTACAGGTTACAATAATGTGATCAAAGCATTAGTTATAAGAGGTTACAACAACAACAACAACAAGATTCCATTTATAGAGCGCCTTTCACGTCGGGAGGTTAGAATAATATGTTTTACATTTGAAATAATGCCTCAAACATCAATGTGCAGTGAGCAGCAGAAAAGTCAATTTGTAGTAACCACCATCATCCCTCTCTCATTAGTCACTCTAACCCCACTCCTTGCCTGATCACCATGACTCAACACCAAATTTCTTAATCATTGGCCATTCTGCCACCCCCCCGGCACTCTCTACCGGGTAAGGTGATTCTGCCCACACCCCGTCTCTCATTGGTCACTCGCACCACTGTCAGCATATCAGTGTCAGGCACTCAGTGTCACACTTTGTGCAGAAGTAAGGATAGATTTTCTCAGTGAAAGTGTCAGTGAAAGTGAAGAGATGACACATGTTGTCAGCATTGTACAGTGACATCTGTCCTCCTGCATAGTCGAGGTACACGCCTAGCACCCGGGGTTGCACACTTATTGGGAGGCGGGTACGAGGTGAGGTTAGAGCTTTATATTCCCCATTGCACACCCACACAGCCCAGACTCCAGTCTTAGGTTCCAGTACGGAAATCTCCTTCCTGTGCACAGACTCTCGGGCCACACCCACAGCCCAGTGTGTGCTGTTCCCCACCCCAACCTCCCAGTAATGTCTCCCTGATATGAACCCCTCTGAGCCCAGCACACAGAACCAGTTACTGAACCTCTTTGGAGTGTCAGGAACCTGCTGTTCAGAACTGTATCTCACTCGGGTCCGGTCCTCCGACAGGATAAGGCAGGGATGGGCTGTGTTAGGATCTAGAGTCGGAGTAGTTGGAGCTGAAACAGAGAATGTTGACATGTTAAATGATAATAATCCTGAGCTTCCAGTTGCTTGCCACTTCAACTCTCCGTCCCACTTGCACTCTGACCTTTCTATCCATAGTCTCTTATGTTGATTCAATGAAGCACATTGCAAGCTCAAGGAACAGCACCTCATCTCTCTTCTGGGGACCTTGCAGTCCTCTGGCCTCAACATTGAGTTCAACCACTTCAGACCATAAAGTTAGCTCTCTCATAAGAGTTTACCTTCCCATTCCCTGTCTTCTGTGACCATTAGCACATCATCTCGGTCGCAAACACATCTTTTCTCTCTCTGGTTTGCCTCTGCTGCCATCCTCTGTTTTGCATCTTTAACGCTTCTCTAACCCATTATCCCCTGTCCTCAATCCCAATTTCTCCTTTGTCTTTCTTGCCCTGCCTACCCTATCTGTTAGTTCTTAAAACCTCTCCCTCCCAACATCCCTCAGATCTGACGAGGGATCGTGGATATGAAACATTGACCCATTTTCATTTCTCCATTGATGCTGCCTGACCTGCTGAGTGTTTCCAGCAATATATGTTTTTGTTCCGAACTCCATGTTGGTGCTCCTCGTGGTGAATGGTTCACATTATTTTTAATTGATTCAATCAGTGAGCTTTGGATTTCTGGTCTTACTGACTTGGGTTACACGTGGGAAATAAGTTATGTCTGGCTGTGACCCGAAGCCCACCCATCAGGGGCATGAGATAGTCTGAGCTCCGAATGATCTTATTTAGCATTCCCGACTGAGGTTTTGAGGCACATGAACAAGAAATCTGCACGTACGAACCAAACAGATTGATTCACCTCTGTAATGTAGCAAATCTGAACACAAGAATTACAGCCAAACAGACATAGAAACACAATCCTCATCAATCATTTCAGATTATTCACCATTGGTTTCTGCTGATCTGTTTTTTTGATTTGTAAATAACCATTTGATCTGGATGTGCAGTTTATATAAAAAAAGTGGATTACAAACATCCTGTTTTTCAATGTATCTTTTAGGTTTTGGGGCGACTTCTGACCTATTTGTATGATATTTATTTCAGCCTTCACGTTGGTGTCCAGAGGAAGTAGGTGCAAATTAGTTTGGTGGCACGTGGAGCTGGTGCAAGGAGTATCACTGCATTGTTGTATAATAAGAACATAGAATCGGCACAAGATATTGGTAAGTGGTCAGGCACTTGTGTACATCAAGGGAATCTCTTATACAACAAGGATAAGTTGTGCCAATGTTCCAATGCAGGAAGCGCCTATAGATAGTTCCTGGTAGCTGCCATCCACGCAGAAACCTGCACTTGATAGATGTTTAGTGACTGACCACTTGGTGTGTTGGGGTGGGGGGGGGGGGTGGAGCGGTGGTGGGAGTGTAGGCAGGATCCGCCTTGGAGCTGAAATGTCTGTAGAGACATTCAAGCAACAGGAATCGGCACAATATCGATGCATTAGCATTGTGACTTTTCTCCTTTTTTGTAATATTTATATTGAGGTGTAAAGCATACAACTGTGCTTGACTATTACCCAGACCAACTCCCTTACCACCAATAATTGAACATCCCCGTGCCCCCCCAATATACAATCACCTCCTCACCCCCATCCTCTGCGCCCTCACCTGCCCTCTGCTCCCCTCACTCCCATTCCCCTACTCCGCTTTTCCTCAATTTCTCTTTCCCTCTCCCCATCACTTATTCTCACCATATCCATTTTCTCCACTCCCCCTCTGCCACATAATATATCCTACTCATTAGCTATGCTCCTTGGGAGCTTGCTTTATTCCCCATATATATCATTCAATAATCCCCTGATCTCTCACTCAATATTCTCACATTGTGCTTCTTTGTATATGGCTCTGAACATATCACCCTTATTTCCAATCCCCGTTATTCCATTCCCCATATCTTGTATCTAACACTGTACCTCTCCTTTTATTCTAATCTTCTTCTTAAACACTTTCCATACCATATCACATATTTTCAGGGAAGATCTGAATTGATCTGTTTGCTCTGTGATGTGATGCAGAAAAAATGGGCCAAATGGCTTCCTTCTGCACAGCAGATTCCCACATTTCTATGTAAAGAAGTCTTCCATTTGCATACTTCTCATCACATTCAGGGAAGCTTCAAAGATTGTTATCAGAGCCTTTGCTACTTTCTCAATGACTTCCCTTCGAATTATGCAAGGAAAACATTCATCCTTATCCATCTTTGATAATAAAAGCCACGTATTGTTATTGTTTGTTTTCGCGGTTCATCTCTCAAATAGGTGCACAAATCTCCTCCTCTGTATCATTTCTATTGCTTCAGGAGTCTATGGTAAAATCTAAATAGAGGAATAGTTCCCCTGTTCGTGCTTAACTCTTTCAGTTGAACACCATCCCCTCAAAGTCCATCCCATTATCCTGATTTTCTAATGCAAAATGTAATCTTAAGATCTTGACTGTTCAATTCTTCGTATGTTTTTGTCACTTACCTTTCTGAAAAACCTCTTTCAAACTTTTGGTTTCCATCTTGCTCAGAGCTACAAAGAATCGTTTCATGCTTTTTGATCCCATTTTCCAGAACATTTTGTGAAAGATATTATCGCCATCTCTGCCATTGGTGGACTCTCCAGCGGTCACAGTCTGGGTGAACATAGCTGAGATGTTGAATCTGAAGTGAACTGGCTTCCCATTAACATATTTGGGACATGGTAAATCAGATTGGGTGATGGCTTCAAGAAAAGGAGGAAGAAACTGTTTGTCTGCGAAGGTGACCAGCAACTGGACACTCTCAGTAATAATATCTTTGCTAAAAGTGGAAAGAAATGAACTGAATTGAAATTCCTGTTCAGAAGTTAATTGCACGAAAGAGGTTTGGACAACAAGGCAAACGGCATTAATCTGTTTTATGCCCTCTGGGGAAGACAGGAGATCTGTGATCTGATGAGAGAGCTTATAATATCTGATGTATCCAGGGATGTGTTTATTTTGTGCTGCGTCTCCAAATTTTGGCACGTCTACAATAGTTATAGAGAAAGGAATCCTGAAGCCCTCTTGGTGGTTGAGTTCATAGACAATGAGTGAAGGTGTTTCAGCCTCGGAGCTGTTTGTTTCTTCCATAGTTAGTTTGTAACGGAACATGTCCTCCCGTTCCACACCAAGGATGTAGTTGATCATGGCATTGATGAGGCTGATTTTCCCAGATCCTGTTTCTCCAAGGAGCAAGATGGTCTTCACACTGTATGTGGGTGAGTGGCTTCCAAAACCATATTTTATAATCTCACCATTCTTGTGAAGTTTCTGTGTCCATAACGGGAGCTTGTAAATAGTTTTGCTTCCAGTTGTTAATGTGCTTCCTTTGAGTGGCCTTCGGGCCTGTGGCTTTGGTTTCTTGTCTGTTGTTATTGAGGCCAGGTGACTGGGTGCACTCCCCACCTGTCCACACACAGCAGACACCCTCAGTGTGTAGGATGTGTTGGGTTTCAGCCCCTTCAACCTGTAAAGAGCTTCACTGCCTTTCGTCATGACGTTCTCCCATGTGTCTGGCTCAGGGCTGGAGATGCTACTCCTCGTTTCTCTATACTCCAACTTGTAGTGATCGATAGTGACCCCATGTCCAATCTGAGCAGGACTGTCCCAGGAGACTTCCACATCAAACCCCTCTAAAAGGCACATTGAAACATTCTCAGGAGCACTTGTTGGCAGTGTAGTCACACGCACACTATCACTGGGTGGGCTGCATGCTGCTCTGTATTGGAACTGATACTCCTGGTAAGTAGATAAACCAGTTATGGTGCAAAAGTCTGATTCTACCTCTGTGTTTTGAGATTTCCATTCCTCCTCCTGGGCGCTGCGGTGTTCCACCCAGTACTGTACAGTCTTGCAATTGCCAGGGTCTGGTGCCTGTAATCGCAGTGTTACACTGTCATGTATCCTTCCACAAACTAAAGGAGCCTGGGGTTGTGCTGGAGGCTTGAAGCAACGGCTCACCAATATTCCTCCTTCATACAGATAAATGGAAGCTCCTACATGATCCTCGTCTGGCTCAGAAGCAACAATGAACTTTGTGTTTTTGTCTGCTTTATTGACTGTGTAAAATCGCAGGAATAATCGTGCTCGCTCCCTCATTGCACGAGACACGGTCACTGAGTGGAACCATTGTTTCAGATCTGATGTTGGAAGCTGGGTTTTCTCAGTTACTTCACACTGAAGGTCTTCGGCCATTTCTAACAGAAACAAATCTTCCTCGTGCAGCGATGTGAACATGAAGCAGACCACATACTCGGTGGTCAAGTCCATTGTCTCCCTATCCAGCTCACTGCGTGATTTCATCATTTTTATCTTATTCATTTCGCTGATGTAACCTCTGACCACAGACATTTCCCTGTCCTTGTCGTCAAGCCATTGTTTGAGTGATTGGCTTCTGAATGGTGATTGTTCCATGCTCTTCAGAATATCAACCAGTTTCCCTTCCTCCTCCCCACCTCCCCGGATAGATGGCAACACTTTGGCCAAGGCCTTCTGGAAGCCCTGTTGGTACTCCACACACATCGCTCTGAACCTCTCAATCTTTTGTTTAATCTCTGGACATTGAACACTGACATAGTCTTTGATCATATCACCGCACCTAATCTTAACATCATTGATCTCCTCCAGGACATGCTGGGACCGATTGAGCAGATTTATACTGATGTCTCGCACAAATTGAGCTGCCTTTGAGTCAAGCTGGTTGAGTGGGTAAAGCCAGACTTTGACAGGCACTGCATACTCTCCATCCTCCCCCAACAATCCTGGCAGGTCTGAATAAACTTTCATAGCATCTTGGAATGTGGTGGGATTGCTTGCAAGTGCAAAATCACCATAAAATGTGCAATTGAATTTCTGGGAATTTGCTTTTACTTTGCTTTTCATATTCAATAAAGCTTCACCATGGATTCTCAATTTTGGTATGATATTAACTGCCACCTTCATTCTACCCTGAGTATCTGTTAGGCTCTCTGAGGAAGAGACTTCTTGATCAAATACAAAGAATGCCTGAGCGCCATACAGCATTGCTGTGACCACGTGGGTTGCTGTGCCCTGTTCAAACACATAGGGGTATGAAACATTCTGTCTCCCCAAGTGGGTCATCGTCAACTGCTCAAACTTTGTTGTTGTGGAATACTGGAGGGTCACTCGTGCCTGCTGTTCAGATTTCTTTCTGTCATTCAGGAATTTTGCAGAACCTTCCACCTTCAATAGTCCACCCAAAAAGCTCCCTTTCAAACTCCCGGTGATATTCAGAGCATGAGTTTTTTCCTCAATGGAGTCTGAGGCAATGATGTGAAACCCAGTGTTGTGCTGAGATCGTGTGTCCAGGTTGTTTTTCAATGTATCCAAGTCCCACAGTGTGACACCTGGAAAATGAGACATGGAAACATATCAATACCGAGGTTAGTACCCGTACATGGTTAAGATGGAGAGTTGTCCTATCTGCACTGATTCCAGTAACCAAGGGTTCATAAGGAGGCAAGTTGAGTTTAAACTGAGTTCAGTCAGTATAGTGGATTAAACGGGAGTGTAGAACGGTCAACATTGAATCCAATAATATGTATATTTTGCGGGCAAGGGGTCTGGCATATGTAGAAATACATTACCATGCTTAATAGTATCCAAAACAAGCTGAGAATTCCATATTTTCCACCTACATATGGGAATCCCATAAATAGATTGTTGGAATGTAATGCACACTCTCTTCCTAGAGGGACATAGTCTGCTTACCTAATTCTGGAAAATATCAGGCATGGGTAGGCAAGAGCCAAGGCTTGGGGACCCCAGGGTTTGTGTTTGGGTACTGCTGGTATCTGACGAGCTGATATAACATAGCTTGCCATTGATATCAATGTCTGGCAAGTTTTCTCAATGCTTGGTTAGCTACAACCCTGCCCGTTAAAGGTTTGGCTTACAAGGTTGCACAAGCTGAATGGAATAAATCGCTGTCCCTTAGTGACTGATTTGCCCTTCCAGGTTCTGCTGATAAGCCTGTGCTCTCATCAGCAGTGCCCTGGAATTCTGTGGACCAACCTGGCTCAGGAACTGGGCTACTGAGATTGCCTCAGAGGGTGGGCTCGATTCCAACATTCGGTTACCAGCCATGTTACCTTGAAGCCCATTCAGCTCCAAGGATTCCCCGCTTCCAGTAATATACACAGTTCATGCGGAACATAATGGTGCCCACACCAAGTATAGTAAACATTAAGGAATAGAGTGTGTTGCTAGGTCTATACTGAATTTAGTAACTTTTGACGATTTGCCTGATAGTGCTTACTAAGATAATAACGGTCCTTGCATTTGATATAGCACTTTTCACATCTTCTAGATGTCTCAAAGCACTTCACAGAATATACTGTAAAGCAAAATTGACTGTATATTTGTGGGGAAACGCAACAGCCAATTGCAAAGCAGTGTGCCACAAACAGTCGTGGAATGAAGATGGTCTCAGGGTGCTTTGAGTTATGAGCAGAGACTGGAGGAAAGTGGTGTCTTAATGGAGCAGAGAAAATTGACTGCACCTGATTACGTTCCCCCACATCTTCTGTGCTTGTGGTCTGAGCCCACCATGTGAAGCCCTCTGAGATGTTATTCTATGTTAAGGGACCTATTAGAAATGCAAGTTTTTATTATTGTTGTTGGGTTTGTTATTGTTGTTGCAATGGGTTCAAGTTATTCCACTGACATGTTTGTTTCACTTTCCAGCTATTATTGTACACTTTCGATATCTCGACACATGGCTGTGTCAGAGCACAGATTGGGAAAAGCAGTTACTGGCTGACATTACCTGGGATCAGAGAGTCTGAACGACAGTCATACAACATCCCCAACTGGAAAGGGCGGCCTAAACATGCCAGCACTGTGCTCGCATTCGCCATTGTCCGCAAAAGCCAGACCGTCACAACTGCAGACAGAGAGAAAGAATTGGTATTATATTTCATTGAAATATCTCATTATTTCATAGATAAATACTATGAAATGTATTGTAAATTATAATTATTATATTGGAGCATTAGGCTCTGTTGTGTGAAGTGCACTATATATACATATATATACACATATACATACACGTTACTGTTTTGTTTTTATTGAATGTAGTTTCTGGTCAACAATTCTATTCTCTGGTGACCATTCTATTATTCTCCACCACCTTTACTCTCAGCTCTACCTTTACAGTTCTGTCCTGGTTCATTTTTACCCTTCTCAATGTCTGCTTCTCCTCCCACCACTGCACCTTCGTATGTGGCATTCTTTCGGGCTCTATCAATTGTCATATGCTCTTCAATACCTACATGGTCTTGCTCAGTGTGTAGGCATGGGATTAACTGTATGCAAATCAAACTCAACTCTATGTTTCTGCCTCCCTCCTCGATTCTAGGCCCACTGCTGTCCTCACTAATTGTCCATTGGATCTCAAGAGCTGGTTGAGAGCTAACTTTCTCCAGTTGAATGTCCACAAGATAAAGAATCTCCTGCTCAGCTTCCATAAGCACCTCCTCACCACAGGCACTGACAGCATCAATTTCATAGTTGCTCCCTCCACTTCATGGAGTCAGTGCAGAATCTTACGATTATCAACTGTTCTTAATTATGCCTCGATCCATTCATTGAACTTTCCTTCACCTCCAGTGCTGAATCTTAGTCGTGTTCGACTGTCAATTTTAAACCATGCCTTGATCCATTTTTTGATCTGTCCTTCATTGCTGTCATATTGCCTGTCTCTACCAGTATCTCTACTCTTGGCCTGCTGAGACCTTTATTCATGCTTTTATCCAGACCAGACTTGACTATGCCAACCTTTCTACTCACTGAACTTTCCATCTATTTCCTCCACAAGTCACAAATCATTCAGCTAGTATCCTCTCTCTCACCGGGCTCTGCAAGTCGATCGCCTCCATCATTAATGGCTTCTTCATCCCCCAGAGAATTGATGCTAAGTAGTTCCTTAATGCTATCCCAACTCAATTTCCCTGAAAGGCATTCACATCTTGGCACATCTCTAATATCCACCTATACCCATCCCAGTATATATTAGTCTGTACTTATCCCAATATATCTGTTTTATATTCCCAACTATATCTTCGTCTTCACTGACTGCACTCAGTCTAACATATCTCAATCTGTACCTGTGCCAGAGCACTAACAGTAGTATGAGCAGCATTGCCAGGAACATATTTTGAGAAGGTTGTCAGCTGCCTCTTTCCACAGGTCTATGAAGAAAATAAAGTAAGAGTAGGGATGAAGTGTCCCCTCTAGAACAATGACTGCCTGACTTCCTCCTTCCAAAAGCTCTGGACCCGGCCACACAACTCTATGGGAAGTATTACAATTGTAGATCGCTGCACGGAATGAAGATGATGAAGTAGAGTTAGGATGAGGAGATCCTGGCGAATTGATAGCTGACTCTTCTTCAAAGGCCTGGTGCCTGCTACAGGAAGCATTACAACTGTGCATTGCTACTCTAAACAAGCTAATTTAGAGGCCAAGGATGATGTTGTGGGAAGCAACTGGTTGAACAATAACCATTGGCAGAATTGGAGATGACATTTCGAGAAGTGTGGCTTCACGAGTGGGTGTCTTGCCTTACTGCATTATGTTACTGGGGTGAGAGTGAAAGTGTGAGGGGAATGGCCAATGACCTCTCCCCCCCCCCCCCCCCCCCCCCCCATCCCCTGTGACATACATTATCAAGAGTCTGGTTCTCTTTCCCTCTCACATAATTTCACTAAGTGAGCCAACTGAGCACTGTATTAGGTGTAAAAAAATTCCCCATAGCATACTGATGGTAGGCGCATTGTTAGGCAAATACTTTATGTGCATAGGAATGTAATATAAATCCAAAAAATATAAGGTTCAATGTGTATAAAATTGTTGTATCACATTGCGAATATTTGTCACCTAAGCACCCTGGATATTATGCAGAAAGGAGAGCTTCAGATTTGTGGAACATTGGGACCAGTTCTGGGGCAGGTGGGACTCGTACAAAGTGGATGGCTTACACCTGAATAGGGCTGGGACCAATGTCCTCGCAGGAAGATTTGCTAGTGCTGTGGGGATGGAGGGGTGAAGGGAATTGGGATGTAGCATCAAAGAGGAGAAACAAGTTACATAGAGGTTTGGGAGAGATAAGTAATTATTTATTAAGGAGTAGTCCAGAAAAAGGAGGGCTTAGACGGGGGAGATGGGCAAACCAGATTAAGCCAATCTTGGAGTGCAGATGTGTAAAGTCATGGAGTTTGACCAATAAGATTGGTAAGCTGCAGGCTCATGTTGCCACATAGGGTTATTATGTAGTGGCAATAACGGAAATCTGGCTCAAATAAATGCAGGAATGGGAGCTGAATACTCCTGGCTGCAGGGTATTCAGGAGAGATAAGAAAGGGAAAAAAGGAGGGATGTGGCAATATTGATCAAGGACCTGTAGAATCCTACAACTCAGTGGTTAGAGCACTCATAAGAGACCTGGGTTTGATTCCCGGCTGGGCAAAATGGTAGGGATGTTTCCTTACTCGTTACTCCTCTGGTTATTTAGCAGTAAGTAGGAACATGTTTGTTCGTTGATTGGCAGATCACTTTTACGCAGATAATAATTGCCTCCAAAAAATAATAATAATAAATTGGTCATTTCAATCCATGACTGTTTGTGGGACACACCTATGCACAATTGGCTGCCATGTTTTGCCCACAAAATATACAGTGAATAAAGCAGACAGGATATTAGGCTTTATAAATTGGAGCAGAGATTACAAAAGTCAGGAAGTTGTGATGAATCTTTATAAACCATTGGTTAGGCCTCAGCTGGAGTACTGTGTTGAGTTCTGGGCATCATGCTTTAGGAAGGATGTCAAGTCATTGGAGAGGGTACAAAGGAGATTTACCAGGAATGCGGGACTTCAGCTATCACGAGCGACTAAAGAAGATAGGATTATTCTCCTCTGAGCTGAGAAGGTTAAGTGGATTCTTAATAGAAGTTTTGAAAATTATAAGCGGAATTCGATAGGGTGAACAAGTAGAAACTATTTCCACTGGTGGGTGAGTCAGTAACCCGGGATGAAGGCTACAACTGATGGGAAAGACAGGGAAAGTCAGATGTTTTTTCCCTGGAGTTCAGACAATTGAGAGTGAATGTGACCGAGGTATTTGAAATTATGAAAGGTCTTGAAAGGATAATAATAATCCTTGCATTCGATATGGCATCTTATCACGTCTTCGAAATTTCAAAGCAAGTGCAAGGGGTATACATACAGAATTAGATAGACACAACAAGATGTGCCGGAGAGTTTAGGAGGAACTTTTTCTTGCACACAAAGGGTGGAGGGAATGTGGAACTCATTGCAGAAATTGTAGTTGAAGCAAAAAGTACCAACACATATAGGAGGAAACTCTTAAGAAAAGATTTATCAAGACAGAAAGAGCCCACTTGGTTGTCCACGTGAGTCTCCATGCATTCTTTATGCCCTCCCACACTTTTCTATTACCTTCTCTTAGATGTGAAGGTTAGGCACTTCACACGATATATTACAATTTGTATTTTTTTCATTGCAGCAGCAAATTTTCACACTGTAACCTCTTCCATACAACCATGGAGTGAATTGCAGGATTTAGAATATATTATTGCTAAAAATATTGCTTAAATCGAGTGAGAAATGCTTATGTTTGTTCATTGATCTGTGGATTGATAACCTTGATCATAAATTGGCAGTTTGATCAAGTGACGGTTGCTTAAAATGGTAAGGGAAAATATCAGTTTGTGTTAGTTGAAGAGTTAAATTGGTTCAGAAGTAAGTCAAGTGTTTATTACAGCTGCAGCTTTCTTGTTAGTTGTTGATATAATGGTCATGCATTGCTTAATCAGAATCAACTCATGGGTAATGATGGTCCCAGCCTGGAAAAAAAACTATCAGGTGGGTGAGGAGGTATCATCATAAAAATAATGATAAAAGTAGAGCTAAGCTATAAATTGTTCAGTCAGAATTCGTCATCATATGTGTTTTGTCTGAGTTGGTGAGAGCCAATACACATTTGGCTTCCCTTGCTCTGTGACTCCAGCCACTCAACCTCAACTGTTCCCGTGATAGCAGGAATGTCAGCAAGAAACTAAATGAGAAGGCAGATGACGTTACAGGAATACAACTGAAACAAAACTGCACGAGACAAGCAGTTTTGGTTCCTTAATTGAATCCCTGATATTATTGTCATGTCAGTTCCAGAGACGATGCTCACTCATTCAAGTTCCAGAAAAACGAGAAGCAACACCTGTTTGATTGCTGCTTATGAACTTTGGTATTCTCATTACTGTGAGATTACCATAGCAGCCATGATGACAGTGACTCCAACCACTTAACCTCGACTGTCGCATGATTTCCAGCAACATCAGCAGAAAAGTAAAAGGACAATGACAACTTGGGAATATAGCTGAAATACAGCTGCAAGAGCCAAGCGCTTTTGGTTCCTTAATTCAACGCCTGATGTTATTTTAATGTCAGTTCCAAGATCATGCTCACTAGTTCAAGTTCCAGATAAATGAGGAGCATGACATGTTCGCCTACTGCTTATGAATTCAAGAAGTTGGTATTGTACAGTGGCATTGCAAATGTGAGCATTACAGCTCATAGTGTCTATAGTAGCCCTATGTTTATTGAACAAATGCAACTTTATATAAAACCCTCATCTTCGACCATGCCATTGGTCACACCCCTCCCTCTCCCCTTCCTTCTCCTCCCTGACCCCAGCTCGGGTCTGAAATGCTGTACACTGTCCAGAGCCTTGGGACGTCCTCCCAATGTGAAAGGCGCTATACAAATGTAATCTTGCTGTTGTTGTTATATGTATTTCTGCCTTGTTAAGCAAACTGGCAGTGAAATATAAAATACAAGTGATGTTGGTTCCTCCTTT